CGCAAAAATATTACTATTATTTATGCTCTTATAGGCGGAAAAAATGCGAAAATTAACAGAATATGATAATTATCTGATCGCAAGTCTGGTAAGAATATAACACTATTTTTATTTACAAAAACACTTTTCTCTTGAACTCAATATTTTATGCTTTACTTTAGTTAATGAAAAAAGTAGTGAAAAAATGGATTTTCCACTCTTTATGAAAGACTAAAAACCATTTTTTCTTCTTGTTTTTCATATATTAATAGTTGTTTTCTTAGTTTTTTCTTTTCTTCAATATATTATATACGAAACAAAACTTGAAGAAACACTTCGCTATAGTTTGAGAGCCAAATGTGTTTTTCTATACATGGGATTCATTAAAATTGATTTTTATTTTTAATAATGAAAACTTTTCACAATTATTTTCTTTCTTCTTTTGAGAACAAAGTTTTTGCTAAAAATAAGTCTTTTATGAGAAAACATTGCGAAGAATTAAAAGAGAAAATAATTGTACACAAACTTATAGGACATCTCACTTAAAATATAATTAAATATTTAGTCGTTTCTTATTCGCTGCAAAGAGTTTGTGTTTCAAATAAATAAAATATTTGTCCTTTAAATGGGAAGTCAATGAAAATTAGAGAGAAATCAATTTGTATTCATTAATTAAAGCACTTGTAGTTTGTTTTTTAAGTTAGGAATGAGAGACAGAAAAAATTAGTCCTCTCTCTCTCTCTCTCTCTCTCTCTCCTGAACGACGTTCACTGCAAAGCAAATGAACAGTTATTTATTGAGTCCATCACTGATGCGAATCAAACAAAATACAAGAATAGAGTCGATCTTTAAGGATATAAGGATTGCATTCAGTCATGTCTTTTATACATATAAAAAACTCACATCTCATTGACTGACAAACACTCAAATGCCATACAAAAAGTGTTGCCTCACAATAATGGCCGAGAAAATAGATTTTTGTGTTTATCAGAAATATAAGTGATTTTTTTCTCATCGCAATCATTATGTTATGGGACGACAGGAAAGTGGCTAATGTTTGGCCCGACGTGTGTCTCAATCACTTGTTAGGCGCTTAAGAGAAATCAACAATTTTTTGAGGAACTAATGCCGATCTCAATAACTGATTCCTAACACACATAGAGATGAGTCCTTAACATTGGTTTCCAACTGTTTTATTGAGTCTAAGAATACATCAAAAACAAAATACACGCACAGATTCTGTACATCACTTATAAACTCCATAATAAAAACAATTTTATACCATTTGAGGGCTAAATATTGGATGACATCTCGCATAACGGCCCCAAAAACCAATTTCTAAAATTATATTTTTATATTATTTTTCGTATTTTTATTGTTGTTATGTCTAAACGTTTAGAATTTTTATTTCTGGAAATATAATGTGAATAAAAGATATATAAATGAGATTTTGGTTTTTCTTAGATTTTATTTATTAGATCTTAAACTCAATATTTTGATTGCCATTTAAAAAGTGACTAAAAATACACACCAAATGTTAAAACAAAAGACAGTGTTGTTTTTGGGAGTTATAGAAACCTTTTCTTCACATGTTTTATGTTTATATTATATTTCTATAAGAATTGTCTTGTTTTTTTCATTCTCACACTCAATGTGTTTGTGAAATGATTTATATTTTAGACTTAAAATTGAATTCGTATTTCAGTTTTACTTTTATTTCTTCCATATATTCCTTCTTTAGTACTAAGAATAGGAGAAAAGAAAACTAATAATAAGTAAAAGACTTTTATTTTGTGTTTTTCTAACAGAAAGAGCAAAAATAATAGAAATACAGTTTTCTGAGAGAGAAAGAGAGAGAGAGAGAGAGAGAGAGAGAGAGAGACCGATATTTATTTTAACAAAAGTTACTCGAATTTTATATAATAGTTATATTATTTTTATTTTGTCCACAAAATTATTGCTTAACATTTCGACTCTTTTGGTCCACAGTTTTAGGTCTGCAGTAATCGTAAAAATGAGAGCAAAATATATAAACTTTTATTTATTTTGTAATCTCTCTCTCTCTCTCTCTCTCTCTCTCTCTCTCTCTCTCTCGCGTAGTCTCTGGACTCCAGTTCCCGCAAATCTAACACATTTATATACTGTACTAAAAGGTCATGAAATGTAATTTTTAATGAAATATTTGTCGTGAAATGAGCAGAAAATTAATGCTTTCACTGATAATAACAATAATATATTTCTTGTATTTAATTGCAGACTATTTCTACGACAGAGAGAAGAGAGAAATAGTCGTAAATCTATATTTTTGATAACAAATATTGTGTCAAAAAATATTATGCAAATGTAATACAAACTGTTTTGCATATTTCATATGAAAAATTGAATCTCTAGTCAAAAATTTTTATATTATTTTGGCTCAAAATTTGAAACTCAAACGACAAGTGAGTAAAGAAAAACTATGAGAGAGAGAGAGAGAGAGAGAGAGAGAGAGCAATGGATTGTGGGGTTTGAGTTGTGATGTGAGAAAAACATTGGATGTGTTGTTATATTTAATTCTATTCACGAGAATATTCTGTGATATTCTATGATATTCTTCGTGTGTAACAGAATTGTAGCGCAAATCCAAGTCTTAACTCAATAAGAAAAGAGCAAATATTGCACTTCAAGTTTGACTCATATTTCATGAACACTTCAATACATAATGGCTTACGATATGATAAGTTTTGTATGTTTTGTTAGGTTTGCGTTCAGTAAACACAATACACACACAGAAAAACTACAATATATGAGATGGGAATGTGAGTGAAGGGAGTGTTTGGAAACGACTTCTCTGTCCCACAAAATGTATTTCGTTTAAAAGAAATGAGAGAAACGATTGAAACGATTTCAACTGCAAAACGCACTCATATATGAAAAGCCGCGTATAATATATGATGAAAATTAAAGACACAAAATAAATAACACAATGAATTGGATTTAGAGATTTTTTTCAAGAGAGAAAAAATTTAGACCAAAAAAATAAATATAAGTCTGTTTTTACTTTTATTACTATTACTGCACATTAATCTCTAGAAATAGTTAAACGTTTTAACAAAATATATCATTTCCTAAAAGTAAATGAATAAAATTCATTGATTTGCGAGCAATAGATATTTACAAATCTATGCAACACCAAGAAAACGGTATAAATACTGTTTAACAAACATGTGATTAAACTATAAATATATATTTGCGACAAATTATTCTGTGGGTTAGAAATAGTTGAACAGTTGAAAGAAGTTTTAAAACTTTTCTCTCGTTTTTATGGATGGTTTGAAATATTTCCAACCGTTGCTGTAAATCATTTTAATGGTCATCTAATCGAGACTTCCGAGCGTTACGAATGTTAAATGTACTTTATTTTTAGATGATCTCTCTCTCTCTCTCTCTCTCTCTCTCTCTCTCAAAATAGTAGTAATCATTTTTAAACTGTATTTTTCTGCCTTTTGTAAGTAAACCATTGCATAATCTTATTTATGGATTGAGAAATAGTACGGATGTATTATATTGTAATGCATTTACAAGTGTATGACTGAGTCGTGACACAAAGCCCTCCACTTTTCATCTCCAGTATTCTTCCACTCGTCGTAAATACAGTGAAAGTTAACACAAAAAAAAATATTTCTTATAAATCTAATGATTTTATTTTTATACGAGATTATGATAAATATTATCAATTGTCAAACCGTTTGCTACACTTATCCCTAACAAAGAATAAGACCGAGTCTTTCATAATAATATTGTGTATTAATAAATGGGGATTTTTGCTCAAAACATGTTTAATATGTATTCAATGCCATTGAATAAAGTATAGAAACGATAGAAAATTATTAGGGGAAGGATTAGACACTCAATGTATTGTATATTACAAATAATTCAATGACTCGTAACAGAGTTGTAATCATAAACTGAATCTGTTTTCTTGGTTCACATAATAATTTATTGCATTTTCATTGTCTCTGCAAAACGTTTGCACTTTCAATGCAATCCATAGTGTGTTTTATGTTTCATTTGTCGCTAAAAATAAGATATTTTGATAAAACATTATTCCGAAATGTCTTATGTTTTTTGTGATAAAATTTTTTTCCGTCTCAAAAGGGAATGTGTGTCACAACTGAGAGAATGAGAAATAGAGAAAATCTCATTACACTTAACAAAGTATTTCATAATTCAATAGCAGAATGAAATGTATTATAACTCTCTCTCTCTCTCTCTCTCTCTTTCTTTCTCTCAAATGGAAAACTGTATTTCTATTATTTTTGCTCTTTCTGTTAGAAAAACACAAAATAAAAGTCTTTTACTTATTATTAGTTTTCTTTTCTCCTATTCTTAGTACTAAAGAAGGAATATATGGAAGGAATAAAAGTAAAACTGAAATACGAATTCAATTTTAAGTCTAAAATATAAATCATTTCACAAACACATTGAGTGTGAGAATGAAGAAAACAATACAATTCTTATAGAAATATAATATAAACATAAAACATGTGAAGAAAAGGTTTCTATAACTCACAAAAACAACACTGTCTTTGTTTTTAACATTTGGTGTGTATTTTTAGTCACTTTTTAAATGGCAATCAAAATATTGAGTTTAAGATCTAATAAATAAAATCTAAGAAAAACCAAAATCTCATTTATATATCTTTTATTCACATTATATTTCCAGAGATAAAAATTCTAAACGTTTAGACATAACAACAATAAAAATACGAAAAATAATATAAAAATATAATTTTAGAAATTGGTTTTTGGGGCCGTTATGCGAGATGTCATCCAATATTTAGCCCTCAAATGGTATAAAATTGTTTTTATTATGGAGTTTATAAGTGATGTACAGAATCTGTGCGTGTATTTTGTTTTTGATGTATTCTTAGACTCAATAAAACAGTTGGAAACCAATGTTAAGGACTCATCTCTATGTGTGTTAGGAATCAGTTATTGAGATCGGCATTAGTTCCTCAAAAAATTGTTGATTTCTCTTAAGCGCCTAACAAGTGATTGAGACACACGTCGGGCCAAACATTAGCCACTTTCCTGTCGTCCCATAACATAATGATTGCGATGAGAAAAAAATCACTTATATTTCTGATAAACACAAAAATCTATTTTCTCGGCCATTATTGTGAGGCAACACTTTTTGTATGGCATTTGAGTGTTTGTCAGTCAATGAGATGTGAGTTTTTTATATGTATAAAAGACATGACTGAATGCAATCCTTATATCCTTAAAGATCGACTCTATTCTTGTATTTTGTTTGATTCGCATCAGTGATGGACTCAATAAATAACTGTTCATTTGCTTTGCAGTGAACGTCGTTCAGGAGAGAGAGAGAGAGAGAGAGAGAGAGGACTAATTTTTTCTGTCTCTCATTCCTAACTTAAAAAACAAACTACAAGTGCTTTAATTAATGAATACAAATTGATTTCTCTCTAATTTTCATTGACTTCCCATTTAAAGGACAAATATTTTATTTATTTGAAACACAAACTCTTTGCAGCGAATAAGAAACGACTAAATATTTAATTATATTTTAAGTGAGATGTCCTATAAGTTTGTGTACAATTATTTTCTCTTTTAATTCTTCGCAATGTTTTCTCATAAAAGACTTATTTTTAGCAAAAACTTTGTTCTCAAAAGAAGAAAGAAAATAATTGTGAAAAGTTTTCATTATTAAAAATAAAAATCAATTTTAATGAATCCCATGTATAGAAAAACACATTTGGCTCTCAAACTATAGCGAAGTGTTTCTTCAAGTTTTGTTTCGTATATAATATATTGAAGAAAAGAAAAAACTAAGAAAACAACTATTAATATATGAAAAACAAGAAGAAAAAATGGTTTTTAGTCTTTCATAAAGAGTGGAAAATCCATTTTTTCACTACTTTTTTCATTAACTAAAGTAAAGCATAAAATATTGAGTTCAAGAGAAAAGTGTTTTTGTAAATAAAAATAGTGTTATATTCTTACCAGACTTGCGATCAGATAATTATCATATTCTGTTAATTTTCGCATTTTTTCCGCCTATAAGAGCATAAATAATAGTAATATTTTTGCGTAAATATGTAATCAATCAAACAGTGAAAACAATATAAAGTATGAATTATATTCAGTGTTTGCCAAAAGACAGCTACAGAGCGACCAACCCGGGCACCCAACACCACCCAACATCACCCTGCTAACATTAAATATTAAACTCGCACCAAATTCAATGAGCTACTAATTACCATCCATATACCTAATTAGATGATCTAAACGTCTAAAACAAGTATTTGGTTTTTATTGACTAATCCAATAAAAAGCAACAAACAATTTATAGATAGCTGTGTATAGAAATGGTAAGAAAAGGGAGCGAAGAATGGCTGAGATTGTGGTTCTCTGCGAGTGTTTCGGCGAATCACTGAATAAATAATTTATGAATTGAGAAAATCTCTTCGCGAGAATACGAGACCTGTTTTAGTATTTGAATGACTTTATCGTTGGAAACACTCAATACGATATTGTGTTCGTTTTTATGGATATCTTTTAGTATCTTTTGGTATTGAAATATAGGGTCGTATTGATAGTTGGAGTCGTACTGCAAAATGGACATTTTCACCCTCCTCATCTCCGAGTAGCTGGATATTTTAAGTAGATCCTTTAATTTGATAAGGCCTGTCGAGTAAAATAAACAAGTTCTTTTATTTATTTATTAAGCGCTGTATAAATACAAAAGTTAAATATTCATTCGCTTTACAGTAGTATTAAATAATAGTCTGAATGCAATTATTTGTCTCAACATTTATTTCTAATTTTGTTTATAAGAGTTGTAGTCTCTCCTAAAGAAGCCATTTATTCATATATTGATTAAAAATCAAAACCCAAGAGAAAGATAAGATCGAAGCAAAGTTTTTGGTTTTCTTCTCTCTCTCTCTCTCTCTCTCAGTTCTCTCGAGTCAAAGAGCAATACATTGTATGAATGACTGAATGGATGCAGGAATAGGAGAGAGAGAGAAAGAGAGAGAGA